AGTGAACTTACCCTGATAATATCATAATTATTCCATCCGACCTCTGATGAGAGTCTGCCTAACAGGCAGTATTTGTGGCCAGCCTGAAGCCTCAGCACCCTAATCATCAAACAAGCAAGAATTTGTATGATATAAAAAAAAAACAGAAATCATAAAATTATCTGAATAACTAAAATTAGATATAAACTCACTTGAGAGCCTCGGGGATGACCATCCTCTTAACCTTATCATAGGGGGGTGGTATACCTTCATACACCTTCAACCGAGCAAGTGCAGCTTCTCCACGCTTGGTCTTGTGAGGAATCATTCTAAAAAATATATAACATGTTATGCAATGGTGTAGCACAATCTATCAATTCTATTGTTAGAATAAATGAATCAGTAAATCAATAGTTCGTAAAAGGTCTCAGGTAAAAAAAGAAAAAAAAACTACCGATTTAATTATGTTGATTGAAACATAAAAACACAACAAGAAGAAAGCTATGATTGATTGTGCACGCTTAGAAAGCTACGAAAGTTTGTTACTTAGGTTTCATTATCCAACCAAATACAGCTACGCAGTAGTTAATTGCAGCAAAAGTCCAAAGCTATGTCTAATTATACATACAGTAATCAAAATCATAAACTACTGCTACAAACTTTGATGGACAACTAATTATATCAGCATTACCAATATTTCAGCTTACTGAAACACTCAAAACCAAATTTCCACATCAAAACATCGTATCCCATAGATGGTAAAAGTAGGTCTCAAGCAGAATCGTAAAATCATAACAGGGGCCCGTACTACAAGATTCTTATCACAAAATTAAAGCTCCACATAAACCAAATATCGACTAAAAGCAGCAGAAAAGAAAAAAAAAAAGCAGAGGATTTCGAGGATCTACGCTATGGGTATCCCATAGATGGTAAAAGTCGGTCTCAAGCAGAATAGTAAAATCATAACAGGAACCCGTACTACACGATTCTTATCACAAAATTAAAGCTCCACATAAACCAAATATCGACTAAAAGCAGCAAAAAATAAAAAAAAAATAAAGATAAAAGCAATCATCATCCATTCCATTGCAATAACAGAAGGGCAAAAGGGCATTGCAGAAGTCAACAAAAAGAGGAGAAGGAAAAAGATCATACCCACGAATGGTTCTCCACAAGATCTTTGAGGGAGCCCGGAAGTGGATGGGTCCATGAGAAGGCTTAGTGTTCATCCTCTTGCGAAGGAACCTCAGGTACTTCATCTTCTGGCGTACAAGCCCACCGGAAAGGCAGATTTCCTCGCATCTGACAACCACCACCTTCTGGCCGTTCAATAGCTCTTTAGCCAAAATGGAGGCCAGGCGGCCCAGCATGTGGTGCCTCGCATCTACCACCACTCTTTTTGCGCAAATCCCTGAACCTGAAACCATCTCTCTTCGTAGTCTCTCTCTCTCACTCTCACTGAAGGAGGCGGAAGAATATTGAAGAAGGGTAGGGCTTTTTTAGGGTTAGGTATTTAAAAGAGTGAATGTTTGGGTAAGGATTTGGGTTTCGAACTGTAGTTTTTTTTCTTGGGCCTTTTGATGAATGGGGTTGGGAATTTAGGCTTGAGCCCATTACTGATGAGTTATGTGTTTCAACAAACTTTTTGGTTGGTAAAAAGCAGGAAAATTTTCAACCCTCCTATATGTTTCTAAAAAAATTATAATTTCTACTACATATAATTAAATGTGACTTTGCCTGAAAGATAATAATTATCTACATTAATACATAATGACAATTACCAATTAATTCTAACCACTCTCCACGTGCTTTTAATCTGTCTGATTCAGTTACCATATCAATTGAACTTTCTGTCCCTTCTTTTGCCCGTGATTTGCGTCCATTTGCTAAAAAATACTTTCTGAATTTTATTCTGAAAAAAATTACGCAAATAACAAAAAAAAAAAAAGTTGAGATTGGGGAAACATATACCATCATATACGCAACCCGTAATGAGATTGGGGGAAAATATACTGAATATAAACTATACATATAACGGGGGAAATGATACAAACACGATACAATATATACTGCAAAAAAACGTGAAAGGACGATAAACGTGAGGTATATTTTGAGATTTTAACGTTCATTCAACTGTACATGATTCTGATTTTACCGAAAATATACCGAAAAAAAACGAGGACGTGAAATTTTATAAAGAAAAAAAAAAACGATTTTGTACAAACTCTGTCAGTGGAGATGACAATTGCGAGCAAGGAGATGACGGATCGCCCTTCCCCATCCACCTCCGACGCCCCAGGTCACGATCGCCCCTCGTCTACTCACACCGCCTTGGACAAACTCTATCAGTGGAGATGACGGATCTGCGAGCAGGGATCCGGAATTTCAGTTCACAGGTGAGGTCGAGGCCGTCGAGAGCGACGACGACCATGGTGGAGGCGGTGGTGTAGCAGACGACGTCGTATAAGTCGTCATAGCAGGCGGAGGCGGAACCTTGAGGAGAAGACGAGGTCGGAAGGGTCGGATTTGATGATTTTTCTGAACTCGAGGTTTGATCGGACCTCTTCGGGGGAGGCGGAGGCAAGCAGTGGAGGATGAGGAGGAAGAAGGTGAGGGTGAGAGTCATCGGCGGAGGGTTTTTGCTATCATAATATCTGCTAGAGAGAGAGAGAGAGTTGTTGGATACGTTTTTCCCTAATTTTAGAAATATCCCCATAACCTTATTTATGTTGAATAATAGAATTATTATCTGTTTGCAATTAAAAATATAAGATTTGATAGATTTGCTAAATATTTTTAATACCTCGTAATAGTGCAAATAAGTTGTTGTGAGGTGGTGCGTGGCACAATTTCCTATAAAAAGCATGAGGGGGTGTGTTCAAGGAACGCTATTAAAAGTCTTATTATGAAATTTTAAGAATTCTCATACATTTAATTTGTGTATTTTAAAAAACTTTAAAAATCGAGTGTTAATTTGAGATTGTGAAAAGTATTAAAATTCCTGCAACATTTAATTTATTTTTTTTATTTCTTTGGATTTTTTTAAGTTCATTTTATATTTTAAAGACACAATACATGTACCCAGTTCTATTTCTAAGGCCAACTTTAAATGAAGAATTCTCAAGACTATAGATAAAAAAAAAATTGAAAAAAAAACTTTAAAAAAATTGGATTTTGAAAAAAACTAAAACGTCAATCATAAAACTAGTCTAATAGTGCTATGTTGGTTACAAATAAACTTTTGCATCAAAGAATTTCATATTAAGGCCCAAATTTACTAAAACATATATATCAATACAACGTTATTTTGAGAGGCCTATATATTCTATATTACTCAAAGTTTTTTCATAAAAAATTGTACTCCCTCCTTTTTATTATAAACGTCGTTCTATACTTCTACACAGGGATTAAGAATTTTTTTTTTTGCCAATATTATTCTTATTTAATGACACTTAACATTAATTAATTATTTTAATTTCAGCTTTGTTATGTTTTTTAAGGAAGAAAAACTCTTCATCTTCCTCATCGTTCCTTCACAAAATACACAGCTTCATTTAATAAACACAGCCTCACCAAAAATTTTTCGTTTGGAGCCAAAATTTCGACAAGGAGGTAAAATCAAAATTCACATTCCACATTTCAAAGTTTGTGAACCAACACATACAAAAGTCTATAAATATGGATGATTCAGTTAAACCTCACTAGTGCGTGGCCCGTGCAATGCACAGAAAAATATTTTTACGATTTTATATTATAAATTAAATATATAAGTATCATTAATTACGATTTACCCATTGTTTTTAAATTAAACCAGGTTGGACACAATCCAACTGGATGGACCGAGAATAGGTTTATAACCATTCTAATTCGCTTGAATAAAATATTTTCTATCGAATCTGTCAACACCAGTAGGTTGGACTGATAGGATTGGTACGATTTTCTAAATAAATTTTGTTACATTTAAAATTATTGAAAATAAATTTCATATTTAACTAAAATAGAGATTTATAAATTGTATATCAATTAGTTTAAACATTTGAATTTATAAATTGTTTAGATATTTACGTAACACATTTTATTTAAATTTAGTATAAAAAGTACTCTATCTATATATATAAATGTATATATATATATATATATATATTAAATTATTTATAAATTAAAATCTGAACAAACCACAAATGATTTAATAGAATAACTTAATCGTTTCGATGATAGTTCGATTCTGAAAACCATATTCACTGTACATTAGTAAAAATTATAATAAAATATTATTTTATTCACATAAATATTAATTAAATGATATATAAATATTTATTAATCATTAATCATGTTGTCATAAAAGTATTGTTAATATGATTATTTGAAGTTTGGTGTAACACCCCGCTCATCAGAGTAACTTTTTCGCAACTTTTACTTCGAAAATACTTATAACTCTTTCGAAATATTTTGCGACTAACTCGAGATGCTACTCAGACTCATCTTCTTGAAAATCCGTTTATCTTTAAACTTTTTGTTTCTAATACTTCTCTAGACATACAGAAAACAGATTTTCTTTAAACTTGCATTTAACTGTACCATATTCATACTTCTCGAAATGATAAAAACTTGAAATCAGAAATTTATAAAAATGCAAGTTCAATACTTAATGTGCATAGCGGAAATACTTAAAAACGTGGTTTATTATACAGACATATCAAATACTTAATAAATGTCAACATGAAATAAGTGCACGACCATCACCACCACATCTCGAGCTCACACCTCCGCCCCGACCCTGTTACCTGAAAAACACAATGGGGGTGAGTACTGATCCTCTTGTACCCCTAAATCACCCATACTAAAGTAAACACCAATAATAATACAATATCATGATCTTTGGTATATATCTGGACTGGAAATCTGTTCCAGTAACTTCAACTGAATCTGGCCGATATCTGATCGGATACTTGTGTACAATCTGATGGATATTTCTCAATGCAACTCAAACGGCCTCCATCAGAATTTAGGATATACTCTGAGACAACTGAATGCCTCCTCTTCCGAAGCGTATAAACTTAAACTGTATACATACCTCGAACATGATATCAATATTATACTCAATGTAATACCCAGTCTGGGTCCCCACCTTTCTCCTTTGAAAAATCGTAAGTGTTAATCTCGAGTAGCTAACTCCTCAAGCTACATAAAAATATATAAACAAATATACTAAGTACTATGCTCGTATACTCAATAAGATGCTCGGATTCTCAACTCTTTCGGATAACTTATCTAAATCTTATAAAATTTCAATATTCATGCTATTGCTCAAACTTAACTTTTCTTGATCTTTTACTCAATCAAATACTTAACTCATCATATATCATATCTCCCAAATCTTATATATTGGCTTATACTCATTTTTCACTTAATTAACTTGAAAGTGAAAATAAACTCAAATCATACTCTACTTTTAATCATGATATTAATATGTGAGATTTAAAACAATCTTTATAAAATTGTATACTCAACATATTAAACTAAAACTTTGTCAAATTGTTCATCACTTATTAGAGGATTGTTCATAATAATCTTACTTTACCAATTTGAACATATCATGAATATTCTTGCATATATACTCATCTTTACATATATGCCATCTTGTTATCTCAAATTATTCATTTCTCATCTTCAAATCATGAAATTTAACAGTCATAATCTCAACTCATAATTAGAATTGTCATAAAAATTTCATAATTTTAGCATCCATATCCATCAAGTTATTAGACTTTGAAGTTACAACTAAAACATCGAACATAAAATTCAGCATACATGTTCATCTTCAAATCTCTATAACTTAAGTTATACCATGCCAATTAACTTAATTCTTGTTCTCATGTACTCCTATTTTACACAAGAATTACTCATTTAAATCATACTTTTCCAGCTTATTCATATCTTCATCAACATCTCATCAAATCAAGTACATATATCATATAATTGATCTTGAACAACTTTAACTCTTTGTATTCATATAATCAATTATAAATTTAACTTCTCAATCATGATATACATACTTATAAACATCTAAACTCATTATCAAAGCATGAACTTAAGCATAAAACTTTAAGATAAGTAAATTACCTCCTTCTTGCTAGAATCGTAACTTGATTCTTCACTTCTCCACAATTTCTACTACTTATCTCTCTTACACTCTTATATAACTTTTGGTACTTTTCTTTGGTGTAAGAACTCTGATTTTTAGGCCTTTATTTATAGGCACAAATTGGTAAGACATCATAATGGAGTGAAGAAATGAACAAAATGAACATTTTAAACTTATAAACTTAATTAATCATAAACTATTTTATGATTAACTTGTATTCTTATCAAAACATAATTAATCATAAAAAATGGCCTCTGGTTGAGATCACAATCGGATTCTCAATGATCAAACCTTACTGTCGGTAACACGACTCGTGTGGCATGTCACACGACTCGTGTGGCTCCACACGACTCGTGTGAAAAGCCGAAGCTAACTTTCATCTCCTCATCCTCCCACATGACTCGTGTGCATTGTCACACGACTCGTGTGGCTTCACACGACTCTTGTGGCTTATTTCACACGACTCGTGTGGCTTGTTCCTTGAAAAACTCTTAATTTCGAACTTATAACTGAATACTGAGTCTCGAAATTAATCAAAGCTTGGAACAACTACTGATACTTTATTAATAACTGAGAGGGATATTACAATTTACCCCCCTTAAAACTATTTTCGCCCTCGGAAATACTGAAAGTGAGATACATACCTTCTGAGTACATATCAAAACTCAAAGTCTAGAAAACGAGCTCTAATATCAGCCTCCCGCTCCCAAGTGGCATTTGACTCTCCGTGACGATTCCATCTAATACGAATGAGGGGGAATATCTCGCTTCCTGAGCCGATGAACCTTTCGGTCCAAAATTGTTACCGGCTGTTCCTCGTAAGTTAGATCGGGCTGAATCTGAATCTCATTGTGCTGAAGCACATGCTCTGGATCGCACACGTATGCACGTAACATCGATACGTGAAAAACATTATGCACACTTGACAACTCAGGAGGTAAAGCTAAGCGATAAGATACTTCTTCAACTCTTTCCAGAACTTCAAATGGACCTATATAACGAGAATGTAACTTGCCTCTCTTCCCGAAACAAACTACACCTCGCATTGGTCGAACCTTCAAGAATACTTTATCTCCTACCTCGAACTGCATCTCTCTTCTATGCTTATCGGCTGAAGACTTTTGCCGACTCTGAGCAGTTTTTAGCCTTTCTCGAATTCAGGCTACTTGCTCAACTGTCTCCTCGATCATCTTTGGACCAAGAACTCGTCTCTCTCCAACATCATCCCAATAAAGAGGCGAACGACACTTACGGCCATAAAGTGCTTCATAAGGAGCCATCTGAATTGATGTGTGGTAACTATTATTGTAGGCAAACTCTACTAATGGTAACCACTTCTCCCACTTGGCACCTCTATCCAGAATACAAGCTTTGAGCATATCCTCGAGCGTCTGAATAGTCCTTTCGGACTGACCATCTGTCTCTGGGTGATAAGCCGAACTAAACTTTAACTGTGTGCCCATTGCTTCATGCAAACTCCC